GGTAAAAATACACGTGCCGGGTGTCCTGGTCGAATGGGAATTCTTGACGATCGATTCCCCCGCTGGCAAACTTTTATTGTGGTAGAATTTAATCGGGGCGGAGGTAATTTAAACGGGGCGCAACGATTAAAACAGGGGGGAGTTTTCCCAAACGGGGCGCGCGCGCCCCGTTTGCGCAACGTAGGGAGAACCCTGATGGCCATATGTTACATTTGTCTATTGCGATAGAAATGTGTACGAAACAGATAGACATATATTTGATGAATCAAAGCCACTTTCACCAAAACATAGATATAGTAAAAAAGAAAAGGAAATGTGATTACAGTTGAACCTCTCCAGCCCAGCACACACGTACACGGCCAGACTCATGCTGCAGTAATGAAAATTGGCATTATTACATATACAATTTAGATGCAAGAAGCACAGAAAAGCATATCACTCGCAAATTCAAGTTTGTGCTTTTCAAACATGATGGCTCATTTCCGTTTTCTACACCACAAATATTGTCCAATTATGGGAGTTGCTGGTATTTACTAAATGACGAATTAGCAAAGTTCAACTGCACAAGATTATTGATTCACCATCCTGGCTGAGTTATAGCTGTACCGTCCCATCATGAAAGTTTGATTATGCACGTGACTTCAATAGGCGAAAGGCCAACTAAGCTAGCAGTGGAGTAAGGTCTTGCAAGTAGTTACTGTTTGGTGTAATTTCTACAGCTGTGATGCCACTGGTGGGCTGAACGGTATCGACGAGTAAAACAGCATGTATGCCGCCGGCGTCTGCAATGAAGAAAAGATTTGAATAAGCCTTGGCTTCAAAACAGTTCGAATATGTAAGAATGATTCCAATTTCATATTACTGATTATGTGCATAAACCGTACCATTAACATGAGATGCAGCAAAGAGCGAAAAGCCATAGCTACATGGCAGTGACAGAATACCTACACGTATGTCTGATACATCCATTTTAGTTACATCACTGTCATCAAACTTGCACCATCTATCAGTGAACGAGTTCTTGCAATAGGCAGTGTCTGAAAATGAAATAAACGCGGCCAGTTAGTTATGTCAGTTCTGCTGCGGCGAGTGCCATTAGATGAGAAAATATATATCATAAATAGGGATTTCACATGGTCAGTAAAAACTGCTCATTATATTAATTAGCCACTGAATTATTACAGTGAACAAATTTTTCCTCTCCAGAACTGCATGAGATCGTTCGTTATTAATGATTGTCAACTGTAATAGATCTAAATGTTACTACCAAATATATAAGATTTAATATTAAATTACAGTATGATATAATAATTTCCACTACACTCACAATGTCCTCCATCCAGTGAACCATAATGATTCTGAGAAAAAAGGATATACAGATAAAATTAATTATTTTTTTAATATTATTATTATATCACAATATGACGTAGGCCTAATGACAACTAAATAGTGTATATTAATTTGTTCATGCTCAGTTGCACATGTATGTTATTGCACAAATGAAGTATACAGTATGTAAAAAATAAAGTAAAAAATAAATGCAAAGTAAAGTACTTTAAGTATATATTAATTAAACAGAATATACACAGGCAGTCTGTGCTTGTATTCTTCAACTATGGCTAGAGAGATGCACTTACAGAGACTGCATAAAGCCAGTATGGTGATCGTTTTTTGGGCCCTCGGATGGTGTCTGCCATGTTTAAACCGCTGATAGGAAAGTCGACAAATGTCTGTATTTTGTGTCGAAACATGCCTTCATAGTAAAACCTGAAAATATGAGTAAACACCAAAACATACAAGTGTGAGCACCATATAAACATCTAATCTTGGATTTGATTTATAATTTCATGACAGTAACATATACATAATAATAATTATTGCTTGGAATGAAACAACATTTTACTGCTACCAGGACAACAATGCAAGCTTTGTAAATAATAGCATCTTGCATAGCTAAGCATGATGCTATGATCCTATACTCATGTTGATATTCTGTTAGTTTTCATTGCCTGATGCGTTTTCTGCAGAAGTATTTCATGCCTCTTCATGCAAATCCTATATATATATATATTATATTTGCATCAAAACAACTATACAAAAAATGTAATAGTAGCATATATTGTGTGCCCTATTAGATAATATGCTGCTAAATTTCGTAATGGTTTTAAGAGACGGACACTAAAATTAGGTACTGGCATAGCACACCTCTTCAGGAGAACAATGAGAATCGGTGGCAGTCTCCATATCTCTAGCCTCTTTACGGCGTCTCGTTTCGTCTTGCAGCGTGGGCATGACCATCTGGAGTCCCCAGTCATTTTCTCCTCCTTGAAGAAAAGCCTCAGACAGTCCTGCAGAGAAGTAACTTAGTGAAGCAATACAAACGTTTGACAGAGTTGCGCAAGACTTAAACAACCACACCAGACCAGCCAGCCCATACAACGTCAAACACTGCAGTTCAGTCAAAATTTGTAGTTGTTCATTAACAGCCTTCTGCATATAAAGAATTTCCAATGAGATTTCTAACAGTATAGAGAATTTGGCTGATACACATATCGTCTTAATGCTCGTTGTAAACTGACCAACGCAATACACTGGTATTGTGTGGACACGACAATACGATACATACCTGCAACCGACATCGGCTTCCTGAGGGCAGTGGCAACGATAAGTACATGAAAGGGTCAAAGGTCACAGACGTTTTCTCACAGGTCAAGCAAGCGACGGTGGACTTGAACTGTCCTTGAAACAGGCTCACGATGATGGACTCATTGATGACCTTGTGAATCTGCCATGCTTTGTCAGCTGCCATCACGTCTGTCACTCCGTCGTTGTCCTGTTCGGGTAGCACGACCCTCTTTCTGACCTAAGCAAATAAGTGGACATTCAAACGTGCGAAATCCAGTACGTGCGAACGAATACTGTGTGCGCATATCGGGTTGACAGAGCATGAGAGGGGGTAAGGAGAGATGGTAGGGACTGGGATATTTGGTGAAATATTGGCTGCTGCATCAGTTACTACAGAGGCTGGTAATGTGTGGTGGTAGTAGGGCCAGTAAGTCTTCTTAGTGTAATTAGCTTTCCTATTCATTTAACATGATAACAAAGTGATACCTTACAAATTAGATGATCACTTTTGAATAATGACTCAAATTTCATAACATGGCTCCTTATGGTAGTGTGACCAGCCTTACATGATTTTCTTGCTAACCCTATCAAACTGCCAACAATGTGGACCTAGATTTTTCTTTCTGTTTTTATTTGGTGACGACAACTAGAAGTTAGTATTGCATAGCTGAATGAATCCAAATTAGATACTATTCAAAGAAAGCTATATGCAAATCAACAGTGCTAGATCATCTATACCTTGTTGACATCTTCGTGCAAGGAGTCCAACAAAAATGCCATAAACTCCTGTGAATCTTGGTGTTCGTTACCAGCAAACAAGGGGCCATATCGTCCGACAGTATACTTGAAGTCTCTGGGAGCAATATACCTGTACTGACCAGACCATAGGGCAGACAGGACAGCAGTAAACTCTTCAGCTATCTCACCACCATAGCCTAGCTTGTTCTCCCTAAGCAAAAGTACAGGTCGTTTTCGAATATATATATATCGTATATATGGATTAAAATAAATCACTGAATTGATCGCGGATAGAGATTTGATTAGAGAAATAAAGTATTTATTCAATTATAGTAAGACGTCATTAAGCCGTTGTGTAGGAATTAGATTTACCAGCAGCGTTGAGAATAGGAATTGTATACGTGTGTGTATCAATGCACACACGCACGTGTGCATGCTTACCACGTGTTAGAATTGTCACAGTAATCGATTGATCTCGTTTGTATTCGCCAGATGGCGCCACCTAACTGAGGAGCCTTGTTTGAGAGCAGTTACTTGCGAGCAGTTGCGAGCCAGCATGTAACCCAGTTGCCTCGAATATGCTTGCACTTGTAGTAACGGTATACCGCTCATTGTGTTGTCACTTAACAAGCATCACACTATCACAAGAATAGCTTGCATAACCAGTTTTTAAATTATTTGGGCAGCGTTGCAAACAATGGTATGTGCTGAAGCCAATGTAGGTTGCACATTCTAACTACTCACCTATTGATGTCAAACTTATAACTCCCATTGAGGAAGTATTTCACCAATGGAGTGGTGTTGCTGAGGCCTTGCAGAGACGAGTTCATATAGCAAGAATTTCCCAGGTTACGAAGTCCTGTCAAACCTTGACCCTGCAGTAACATTGAGTTTTTGCACAACTGCTGAGATATATATACGTGCCAGAAAAAAAGCGTCTACCACCTCACTATCATGACATGTGTAAGAAATTATACTATTATGCTTACCACACTACCGTAAACTGGTTGCATGTTCCTGAGCCGTGTTGCAGAGATCTCGATCAGGATTGGCTTAGAGATCGGTGATGGCTTGAGTGATCGATCAGGCACTACTGGCCTATTACAGTAATTAATTTCAGCAATTAAATTCTTCATAACTAAGTATATTCATCAACTCGTTATTTAACCACTAGGTAATAGTATTGGTTTCCCTAAATGGATTTTCTGTTTAATAATATGTTTTATTATTATGATTATTATTATTATTATAATTATTATATATACATATATAGAAATAATACATATACAAATTTCTAAAAACATATATTCACACAAAATTCACGAACTGTTTCTAAGCAGACACTTACATCGGTTTGACGGACTTATCCACAGCGGACAACTGAGGAATCTTCACAGCATTCTCTTTTTCTTCCTCCTCCTCGAGCAACTTTCTTATGTTCGGCGATGAGCTGGACCTCGACATGCGCTTAGGCGAGGAGGGGCTGCCTGGCTCCTCCTTCAGCCGGGTCCTGAACGAGCCTGGCTTCACTGGGGTCATATCTACATTCGTGGTGCATACATTTTATCACTACACACGTCGTGACCACGTGCTGGCAGCAAAAGGAAGCAAAACACTACATTTCCCAAGACTCCAGTAAATGTGTGTGTCAGCACAGTATGGGGGCCATATTGAATGATTTTTTTCCAGAGAAATACTAGAGGTATGCCTTAACAGTGCTACTGAAAATTATTTATGATCGCCATATCAAGCTAAAGATAAGTATGTGATCACTTTCACTTTGAAGTGCAGATTTCATAACAATTCATGTCAGAAACATACAGAAACAACCATGTGTCTTTCAGATCCTACCCGACCACACACACTATATTGTGTGACGGAACATGCATTTCACAAACAATATAGATGACAATATGTGACATTAAATCTTATTCACATCAGGCCAAACAACATATATGCTGTTAATAAGATGTGGGCTTATAACACAGCTACCTGCCATGAGGAGTGAACTTGGGTAGACGTACCATTGCAAGTTTAGTACACAGTATACCTACCATTAGGAGTGTCCAAAACACTCTGTGGTAGCTGCCAATGCGTGGAATGTTTGTTGTGGTCTCTGTAGTAGTATCTGCCTGTCTGCTTATCAAGCACCTTCTCCCAGCCAGACGGGAGACCAGGACTCGTTACGTAGACACTACAATAACATCAAGAATCAGTTTCAGCAAAGGTTGCTGTTATATGTTAAATATCTGCCAGTTACCTCTGTATTATTCATTCCTATATTTACATATTTGTCGGTTCTACAACAGCTGTATAATAAATGTAAAACAGATAAATATCAATTAATATTCCAACATAAAAGCAATTCAAGTGTACAGACTCGTATGACGGGGGAAGCTCATAACTCCTCATAGGCGTTGCCTTTTGAGAGTCCTCTAGTGTCAAACCCTTTGGCTTAGCTGTTCTCTCTGCTATTTCAGCTTTTCTTGTCAATTCTGCTGCTGCATAATCAAATACACCATCCTTAGCAAATACTGCACAGTAGTTTGTACTTTCATTGATTCTTCACCTTCACACTACACAGTAGTGCACAACTATAGGAACAATTATTCCCTTAAAAAATTAAACATTTTCAGTCATCTAAATCATTCAGTTCTAATATTGTCTCTTCTATAATGCTTTTATTCTGTTGCAATAATATTGCATCAGTGGATTCACAAAATAGCACTTTGTTAACGAAATTAGTATAAATTATCATGATCACATGTATCACAAATACCTTACTGTGTACATAACATGATATTTTCCTGTAAGTTACCTAGCAACTCAGCTTGATGCTTCTCTTTCTCATCTCTGGCCCTCAATTCCTTGGCTTCCTTTTCCTTTGCAAGGGCCCGCTCACGCTCTTCTGCCAACATACGAGCTTTAACAATCTCCAACCTCTTTATCTCTTCCTGTGCTTGCTTTTCCTCTTGAGCAGCCTTATCTCTCTCTAGTTGTTCCGCCTCTTCCTACGCGGTAAATCAGAGATGAGGCAGAGGAGTTAATCACAGAGTAGTTAAGTAGCTAGGCTGCTTGCATTTTCTCACCGTTATGAATAAATTCGAGCACGAGATTTCACGTACTATAAAACGTACCTGCTTTTCGCGAATGGCTCTGTCGTAGGCTTCCTGCTCCTGTTGCTTTCTCTGAGCAAGCTCCTCCTGCTGATTTTTATTGTCCTCCTCCATTGTGGTTTTGTTTTTATCCTGTCGTATTCGCTCCAGATGGTCCTATAACGGTCACCACAATTGTATGAAAAAAATTACCAGATGGTGTACGTACACACACAGAAACAGCTCTTTAAATTGGGATCCACAAAATTTGATTAACGTGTAAATTATGAGCAGTATGCTATAGGCACATCACATCTAAAAAATCAGATAAAACGTTTATCTTTTAAAGTAACTATTGCGAGAGTTTTCCAGTGTTTTCCCCACTTTCATGATACCTACCGCTATTGCCTATTGCTTGAGTAACAGCAATTGTCTAGAGTAACAATAAAATGTCTTAGAACCTTC